ACGTAATAATAATTAAATAGAATTTGAAAAGTTAAGATAATTTAAGAGGATCAGGTGATGGAAATGTGTGAATCAACCGGCGGCCTGCTTGAATATCTGGGCTACCTGTTCCTCCGATCTAGATATTTCATCAAGTTATCTGTTTTGTTGTTTGTTTTAGCACATCGCTATGTCTATTGTGCGCACAACCTATTCAGGCGCGTTTATGAAAAGTTTACAACCTTTCGCTATACGGGATACAAAAAGGTACAATCAGCGACATCATGGTTGCTGGCAATATGCATTGAAACAAATGAACAGTAATCAAATGTGGATTACCGAACTTCTAATACCTAACTGGTCATCATTCAAAATTTATCGTCACAATCGATCAAGGTATAAGAAAAGGAAGCTTGTTGAAATACTTTATGCTGAGAATTCTATGTTGTACCAAAAATATAATGTTGAATAAAGCTAATAATAATAATAACAATAATATGGTTTAAGAATTATGTAATAGGGGAGGAGTATAAATATTTTAAAATAAATAAATAAATAATAAAATAAAAAAGGGTTACCAGGGTAGTGATAAGTTAATTAAAGTCTCTTTTTGGATGCATAAGTCAGGTTTAAGTTTTTTGATCATGATGGCTTCAGCAAAACGGAGGGTGATCGTACTTCTTTGTCTATTGATAATTTTGAAAGCATGCGGAATGTCGATGGTGTGCCCGATGTCAAGTAGATGTCGAGCTATTGCGCTGTTGAAGGCCTTATTCCCTCGGAGCCTCAAGTTTTTTCGAACAAGCTCAGAAATGCGGACATGCACTCTTCTCTCAGTTCTTCCAATGTATGTGCTTTGGCACGTACATGTGAATTGATAGATGCAGTTGGAGCTATTAAGAAAAGAGGGCTTGTCGATTTTGGTTTGTTGAAGTGAGCAGTTCGTTTGCCATATTGTCATAAGTTTTGCTGCTGGGTAGGTGACTTTCAACGCAGAGTTTATTCTGTGATTAATTATTCCAGCAATTTCATCACCTTTGAAACGTAAGTGTAAAAAGCAGGTTTTCCTTTCTACTCCATCGTATTTTGTACGAGGATTGCTTTTTGCATATTTCTGGATAAATATCAATGGGTATTCATTATCACGTAGAACATTGGTAATCAGATTAATTTCATTATCAAGGTATTCTTTTGAACAGATTTTTTGAGCGCGGTCAAAAAGGGTTCGTACAATACCCTTTTTGTAACTCATTGGGCAGAAAGTGTGGTAATTCAGATATAGACCACTCCACGTATTTTTATGGTGAATATGTCTTTGTAATTTACCATCAGATGTTCGTCGGATCCCAACATCAAGGAAATGGAATTTGTCTTCAGCTCCTTGTTCCATAGTATGTGTATTTAGAGTGGAGGTTAATAAGTTAACTTATTTGTGGACACAAGTCCGAATCCCACTCAATTTACTTCTTCTGGGTAGTTGGATATTTGTATCACTAAAGTCGAATGAGGATATTTGCTTTAGATAAAACAGGTAAATAGATATACATAAATAATGCACATTTATGCATTAAAGTTTAGATACATTCAACGGTGTTTATTTAGAGCACATATATCCAGGTGCAATAGATCAATAAAAAGTGCTTCGCATAGACGATGTGGAGATATTGTAAGGAAATTTAAGGGGTGAAGGCAGTACAGTCAATAATTAAATAAATAATAATAGTATGTGGTAAGAAACATAGTAAAGTCTCAGAAAATACTTTTTTCAGTTGAGGAAGCTTATCTCATTATGAACAATCTAGGAGAAAACTACAATAGAATTGCCACTAGCTTCTATTCTGGGACGTGTCTAATATTTCTTAACAATGAATACTGTCACTTAAATGATTCGTAAATACTAGCAAGAGAATTCGATTTCATTCAAAGAAATATACGAAAACCTTGACCGTAGCGTTTAACCTGAAGTGATGGTCACGGTTGCTCACAATATCAACTTGTCTATATATATATATTAACTAAAGGGTCATTTATTTAGATTAAATAGAAAATATCCAGTTTCTATAGAATTTTGAAACATTTTGAAGTGAAGAAAATGATTGCTATTTTGTCAAAAGGTGTTTAGGTGTAACGTAATTTATATCGAACATATGTAAACTGAATATACAAGGGGTTTAAATAGCATCAGTGAAACAGATCAACTTCATCTGAATGACTTGTTTTATCGATTCTAACAATAATATATACCAGATGGATATGGTTGAACATGGTTGATGATTGAATAGATAGATGTGTGTAATAATTGAAAATTTACAAATAAACTGCTTATTTTAGTTGTCTGATTTGAAAAACCACTAGCCTACAGAATAAAATTTTGATGTTGGATATGATAAGTATTGAGTTGTTTAAACATAAATAGATATCTTACTTCAATGCTAATAAGTCTATGTGGTAAGACTTCGGTATAATTTATAATCTGTAATGAATTAAGTTACCAGTTGAATTGTAAAAATAAACGGTGAAATGTGGTACCTGAATCAAAATAAGATGTCAGGGACACGCTTGCTGTGTATATCTAATCTAGTTTAGGGGTTGTGGAGATTAAGTTTTTGATTGAGATAATGAACCGATTGATGTTAGACCATCACAATTGAAAACCTGGAAGCACTGGACGGCCGTTTCGTCCTATTATGGGACTCCTCAGCAGTGCGCATCCACGATCCCGCTAGCGGATTCGGACCCAGTTGGTTAAGCGTTTGCGCGCGAGACCGAAGGCCCTGGGTTCGAATCCCGCGAGCGGGATCGTGGATGTGCACTGCTGAGGAGCCTCACAATAGGACGAAACGGCCGTCCAGTACTTCCAGGTTTTCAATTGTGATGGTCTAACATCAATCGGTTCATGATCTATATCTAATCTCTCGTTATTAATTAGTGGAATACGTTTAAAATATTTTTAGACGGAAGAAATCTAAAGGATTCTGAATAGTATTTTAAAATTAATTTTGTGAAATAGTTTGCAAATAAAATGTAGGATGATCAATGATTATTGCATTATTTTAAAGTGTGACAAGGTGTTATGAGCATACTAAATGTAGTAGTATAATGCACAGGCTTTAATTCAAGTCGTGATCAATGTAGAATCTAGCACAAATGTTCTTTACTTCAATCTTTACACTGGAAAATATGTTATTATATGGTAACATTCAATAATAATTAGTTAAATACGATATTGTGAACTAATTTCCTGATTCATCTGTTTAACTTAAAAAATCTTAGTTTTGAAAAACAATGTAGATGATTAAAGTTACAAAGTTCTTATCATTCGAATGATATGACTGGCTTGGAAGTTCTGAGTTTATACTTTATGTTAGTCGAAACTTGTCAGTAAAGTTTAGACTTGGCACACATGTGGGTCGGTACAAGTTGTCATACCACATCAGCACAACGTGATAAAATGAACAAGATGAACAGTAGTGCAATGCCAATGAGAAAGACTAAACATTGAAAATAAGGTTTAAACGGGCAGAAAGAAAAGGAATGCTGGAACTCAAGAATTAGAGTAAGATAAACAACACGTGTAACTGGATCATTGTGACCGACTTCGAGCCATGTTATCCAATGTCTTCAATCACCGATTGTGGTTATCAGGCTGACCTCAACCAGGTCGCCTGCAGCTACCGACATGGTTCAGTTCAAAAGTCAATGTTTTTATGAATTAATGTGACGTATTTATTTTCCCTAACTTACTCCTACACCAGCTATAAAACCCTGTTGAGGTTGATAGTGGTTAGTCATGTGTAACATATACCTTGACCACTCGATGAAGATACATAACCTTACCGACCTATTAGGGATCTTTTTCAGTGCTCAATTCTTAACCTCGGTATCGGTCACGCGATTGATCTGAGATCCAGTGCAGTGCGATGAAGACATCTGTGTTCCAAAACGTGAGGCCTGCATATCTGTTGTATTTTCATAGACCACGTTTTGCAGGCATATAATAGTCCAGACGGAACCATTGAGCAGTGTGTCTACATGTCGATGAGTAAGTTGGTTTCATCAGTTGGTCATATTGTATTATTTTGTACAACCTATTAACCCCTATTCTATTCGTTATCTTGATAGACAAAACGTATTCGTAACTAATATATGGATCGAGTCAAAAGTGACATCCTTTTATGAGTGCTGCCAAACAAAAACCACACATCATTTTGTCGAGTAAATATTTTGATGGGGCAAGAACTACGGCCCAAAATCGACTATCGATTTCATTGGAATAATTGAGGTATATTTGCTATATGCTCCAATCGTTTATTTCTCGAATGGCTTCTTAATACGTTTATTCTGGTGTTTCACATTTTATAATATAAGCATGCTATTTTGTCAGAAAAACCTATCCTTCTGCTCAGTGGTCAGATCTTTGGGCACAGTTTGTTCGAAAGCTTGAGTCCATCCCGTTTTGCGTGCAACTATCACTTGGCTACTTTATATCACTGGACATTACTAATTCATCAGCGCATTACATCGTTCCTTAGGAGAGTTTTTAATATAAATTATAAAAAGCCATAACATAAAAACACAGTGAAAACGCTTTTTCATAAAAAGAGTTGCACCATTATTTTGTTTTTCTCGAATACATTTAATCAGCCAAGAGGTAAACGCATAATTCGAATCATATTTACGAATCTCAAAAAGGATCTATCTTCACTTTATCCAGATTAAGTGTACAATATTTAGACGAGTTTTTAGTGAAGGTTGTGATTTTTTGAGAAGGTTAATCAAACTTAACATGATACCAATAGATAAATGTATTGGTAAATAAGTATAATGGTCAGTCTAGTTTTCACCACGATTATAGAATTCACTTTACTTCCTCGCAGTTTATTTTAGCTTCAACATCAAAAACTGAAAGGGTATGATTACGCGTTTCTTTTTAGACAAAAGCATGTCGATTACAGACGTAAAACAGAAAATTTTTTAAGAAGCTTTCATACGCTATATAAATAAAACGAAAAACAACTCACTGATGTATCTATTTCTTTCATTTCTTCCTCAGATAACTGATATAAACTGTCATCAATAGAAGTAGTAGATGAGGAAGTAACATGATTTGTATCTGTCGTTTCCTTCAAAACAATATTATTATTGTCGTAATTATTTGATGTAATTCCTTGATTAATACCTATACACTCATTATCTGAATTATTTGTATTAATCTTCTGTCCACTCGATGAAGTAGGTAAATTAGAAACATTTGGGCTGGTATCAATATTGTTGTGATTATTATTGTAATGACCATCAATCATGCTTCCAATTGAACAAACTACATCATTTGGTTGGCATACACTACTATCAAGAGAGACATGAGGAAAATAGTTATTTTTATTTGAGAAATCACAAGTGGAAGAAATAGATTTGGAATGATCATTATCATTTGCGAGTGATTTTATTGAATTAGAACCATCAAATATTGTAGATGCAGATGAGATAGGAGTTAGGTAACTATCAGTATGTTGTAATGTCCATAATGAATTATTTGTAAAATAATTAGAATAAATATTATATGTATGTTGGTCAGATAGAGATGTACTACGACAATGAGTCGAAAATTGTGAATTCGGTGATTTGATTGCAGATAATGAAAGGAAATTTGCAAGTTGAGGATTTGAGGCACATAAATTAGCGTTGGTATTGAACTGATTCACAATCCCATTATCACTGCATAGATCATAAGCAACGGCTAAGGCTGTTCCTAAACCAAGACTTCCAACATGCACTTCAGTTTTATCATGAACAGAAACTGATTCTAAACAAGTGGAAGATTGTCGTGGATTATCAGTAGCCTGAAGTGAGCAAAGGGAAAGGTTATAGAAAATTAGGGTTTCAAAAACAAAATAAAAGCTATGAAGTACCTTATAGTTAAATGACTAAAAAAAGTACAAACACAAATTAACTAGTCAAATGAAAAAATTTTCTATGATAAAATGACTTTTTTCATACAAATATTTCGTTATACGTGGTGGTCATCGAGTAGTTCTGTGAGTTGGAAATGTAGCTCTGGATTATGAATTTACGGAAAAAACAACTGTTATAGTTACAATAGAAAAAATATATAGACAGTAGAAAAAGATACTAACCTTAAAAATTACCTTATTGATTGCAGGAAAAAGACTACTAATATCGACGATATATCACTACCATTCTACAGACTGATATCAGGCCTTAAACGCTCAGCAAGACTGTGAAGACTATAACTAGCATGAAGTGGAAAACGGAGTAGTCAACCAATTAAAATAAACGTAGAATCTGGGATAAATATGAATCCGTTTAATTTGTCACACAACATCAGTATAGAGAGATAAAACTAGTAAGTTGAATGGTAAAGGAGTTCGGATAGTAGTAGAAGAGAGTAGTTGGATTGACTAATTAGGTTCAGAAGTCTCTAGGCATAATAGTAAAACAGATTGCAGTTACTTGAAATTTGAGAGTTGAACTTGTTTTCAGAAAGCCTCCAAATGCTCTCACATAGCCACGTGCATACAACCACTCCTAGGGAACTCCTACTTATTGCCTTCTCGCGGCATTACAGATGTTTACGAAATTGAGAGGACGGAAAGCGAATGTCCGGCGCTTTAACCGGGTTGGCGGATATGGAGGATCCACCTAGGGGAATTGGATAACCCTGACTCCAAACCAATAGTGCACATGGTCTACAGGATACTGAGGGAATTCGGGTTCAACTAACCCAATTTTCAAACAAATAAGGAAAAAAAATCAGATGTTCTACTTTGATAACTGCATGGAAATTAGTTTAACAAATATTGTTTCCTGCCTCTTGACATTTACGATCATACACAAATGTACTTTACGTACAGTAAATTCATAGAAATTAGGCACACAAAATTGAATCAACTTAAACTACACCTTACACTTACCAATATTTACATAGCTTGACTCTACTGAGCGAATAATTTTGCGGGTACAGCAATGACTGAAGGCTGTGTGACCTAATCTCTGTAGTAGAAATAGAATTAACAGAGTTCTATGTTATGACCGTTGTTGCTACCTTGACGTGGTGGTCGGGCTTGTCTATCGTGATGGAGCGACCGAGCTATACTGGCTGGAACAACCGATCCTCAAGGACCTACCATGTCAGAAAGGTCGGTTGAAGAGCGGTAAAACGAAAAGCAACAAACCCAAGGTCCGAAGGCGAAGTCGTACTGCTGACTGTACAGAGATGTGACAGCAGTAAGGTGTTTCCTTCAGACAACCAGCATGACAACGATGCTGCCTTCCCACAAGGAGGGGTGGAGTTAGAAAAGGTCGACCCTAAAAATGCACACCTCGCCTTACCTCACGGATTTCCGTCTCCGGCGGTAAGGCCCTTTTGAAGAACGGAGCTAACACGTCAAAAACCTCCCACGAAAAGGCCGTGCGCGACCGGCCTCAAGCAGTTGTCCCTTGGGCACTGCGGTCACACTCTCAGGTCACTAAGACCACCTCTAATCCAATTTCCTTTTCAGGTACCTCCAGAAGAACCCTTCCACGGTGTGGGCAACCGGGAAGTGATAACCGCCCTCATACCTCTAACAGCACTCAAGATCACTGTATTCATAATCAACCTCCCTCTTCAATTCCTATTATTCCTCCTACATCGACTTTCAACTCTAAACCTCCTCTTTCGGCTTCCCCCTCAAGTGTCACCATAGCCAACGATTTTAGTGCTCAAAACACTGTCCCAGGTCTACTGAAACCTCGCTCCACACTACACATTGGAGCCTTCAATGTACGCACCCTATGTCAAATCGGTCAGCAGGCTTCCTTGGCTAAAACCCTAGAGTCTCTTTCCATTGATGTGTGCTGTATCTCCGAAAAACGCATACAGGATTCCAGTGTGGTCATTCACTTGACCTCACCTCGGCAAAACGGAGAGCCAACGAGATACACTCTACGTGTATCTGGTGACCCGATGGCCAGCTCTCGTGGACTGGCAGGAATAGGGATAGCACTAAGCATGAGGGCGGAACAAGCACTGTTAGAGTGGATCCCCGTCAACAGTCGTCTATGTGCTGTTCGGCTAAACGGCTCCGTAAGAACTCGGAAGGATAGAGACACACGTCGTTGCCTTTTTGTTGTTTCTGCCTACGCTCCCACCGACTGCAGCTCAGATGGAATGAAAGATGAATTTTACAGAAAGCTATCTGAACTTCTTCAGAAAGCTAAACGTTCAGACACAGTACTCGTAGCAGGTGATTTTAATGCTCAGATAGGCAGTTTAAACCAAACAGAAAGGCATTTAGGTGGGTATTTTAGTATACCGGCACAGCGAACAGATAATGGTGATCGTCTGCTGCAACTATGCTCAGACAATCGTCTATTTTTAGCAAACACAAATTTTAAGCATAAGGAGAGACATCGTCTAACATGGCGACCCCCTACACCAAACCAACGATGGACTCAAATAGACCATATTGCCATCAGTCATCGTTGGAGAGGGTCGGTACAAGATTGTCGCTCATTCTGGAGTACCTGTTTGGACTCCGACCATGCCGTAATATGGGCACGCATCTGCTTGCGCCTCACTGGACGCAAAAACGCCACATTAAAAAGACCAATTAGAACTGAGTTGAGTAACGAGAAAACCAAAAGTAGATTCCAGGAACAATTGAGGTCACACTTAGGTAATTCTGAAAACGAGGCTGACCCAGATGTTGCTTGGAAAGACATACAAGCAGCTGTGGAAACAGCAGTGACATCTATTAGCGACTTAAACCACATAGTTACAAAGAACCATTGGATTTCTTCAAAGTCTATCACACCGATGGATTCTCGCAAACTCGTCCCATCAGGTTCCGAACATCATGAAGAGCGACAACAAATCAGATCTAGGTTAAGAAAAAGTCTAAGAAACGACCGTAAGCAGTGGTGGGCAATGAAAGCAAAAGAGATGGAAAAGGCGGCGGCTATAGGGAACACAAGACAGCTTTACAGACTAATAAAAGAAACTGGAACTAATAAGTCAAGTGTGAGATTATATCGGAAAAAGACGATACTCTCATCTACTCCCAGTCCAGACGTTTAGAACGATGGGCGGAGCACTTTAGGGAACAGCTGAACTGGCCTTCAGCGACTCTACAACTACCCTCCATTTCCAGACAGTGTGAATGGAACATTGAAGTAGGTCCCCCAACTCTTGCTGAAGTTCAAAAGGCTATAGTTAATCTGAAACGAGGAAGGGCAGCTGGTCCAGATGGATTGACTCCAGAAGTCTTTAAGGATGGTGGTCCGATTTTAGCGATTAGGTTGACTAATATTTTAGCTAAGATCTGGGAGTTAGACGTTGTTCCATCTGACTGGTCGCAATCACTTATTGTCCCAATATATAAGAAAGGGTCAAAATCATCCTGTGACAACCACAGAGGGATTAGTTTAACTAATATAGTATCTAAAATAGTAGCCTCGATAATTATCAGACGCCTAACTAAGACTCGTGAACTGCAAACACGAGAAAACCAAGCTGGCTTCAGACCTGGTCGTGGCTGCATCGACCACATATTCACCATTCGTCAGATTCTAGAACGCAGGCATACTTATCGACGTCCGACAATGGTGGTCTTTCTTGACTTAAAAGCAGCACTTGACTCTGTAGACCGCGAGATTCTGTGGCAGTGTCTGTCATTGAAAGGCGTACCCCAGAAGTACATAAACCTAATAAAGGCTCTTTACTCGAACACTACTAGTCGAGTCAGAGCTTATGGTGAACTGTCATCTACTTTTGCAACCTCAAGTGGTGTCCGTCAAGGCTGTGCAATTTCCCCATTTTTGTTTAACTTCATCATAGATCTACTGCTGGAAATAACATTCTCGTCGAATGAGTTCTCGGGTATTGATCTCCATCCAGGAGGTCCACTTATCGACGTAGAATACGCAGATGATATAGTCCTGTTTGGTGAAGACGCTGACAAAATGCAGAGTCTTCTGGTAGCACTGAGCAATAATGCCAGAATGTTTGGAATGCGCTTCTCTCCCTCGAAATGCAAGTTGTTGCTTCAGGACTGGTCTGCATCAATACCTGAACTAAGGATAGGGAGTGAAGTAGTTGAACGCGTTGACAACTTCACTTATCTTGGAAGTCTGATCAGCTCTAATGGGCTGGTATCGGACGAAATCTCAGCACGGATTCGAAAAGCTCGTTTGGCTTTTGCCAACTTACGTCACCTTTGGCGAAGGCGAGATATCCGTCTATCAATAAAAGGACGAGTATACTGCGCGGCACTCCGTTCTGTTTTAATTTACGGCAGCGAAACATGCCCATTAAGAGTAGAAGACACTCGTAAGCTACTAGTATTTGACCACAGATGTCTCAGAAATATTGCTGGCATCTGCTGGGATCACCGGGTAAGTAATAGTGAGGTTAGACGCAGGGTATTAGGAAATGATGGTAAATCAGTTGATGAGGTTGTGAATCTTCATCGACTGAGATGGTTGTGTCACGTGTTACGTATGCCCGAACACCAATTACCACGTCGTGCAATGCTAACCGGTGTTGGGGATGGTTGGGAGAAAGTTAAGGGCGGCCAATTCTAAACGTGGTATCAGTGCTTGAAGTAACTAACTTCTGGTCTGAGCCATGTTGGTAGATGCAGACTACTTAGTTGGGGTCCGCGTGACTTTCGTAATCGATGGTTGGAGACTCTTGGTGACATGGCTCAGAATCGATCACAATGGCGTCGGTGTATACACTCCCTGTCTTCCCTTAAACTAAGAGATTAAAATCGCTTCATATCTTTCTTTCTACGAACCAATTTTTTCTTCTTGTACTATATCTCTATATGCAATCTTTCTCTTATATATTACTACTTTTGACCTAATCACTCCTATGAATCCGGTGTTCATCTTGTTGTGCTGATGCGGTATGGCAACCTGGACAGATGCACATATGTGCCTGGTCCTACGTTGTAGCTGACTGACTATGTTATGAACTAGATAAATCTAAAGGAAACCGTTCGTTTTGCTAATCTTTGTCACCCATATTAATTTTAGTCATGAGTACGATTTCAGACGCAACACTTTTCTCTCATATGATCTTGTATAAACCGTTATATATGAATGCTCTGAATGAAGATATCAACAAACTGTCCAACTTATCCACAATAATGTCAAGCTCTATGCTAATTATGTCCGAATTACCATTTAAGTTAGTTTGGAAATCGTTTATAAGAGTTTTATTAATATCCATTAACTATCCATAATGAAAAAAAACAATGACCGAAATTCATCACTCTATGTTCATAACGCGAAAAAACTGATAGCATTTTGCTGTAGTTAGAGTCTGCCTACGAGGCGGATCATTAATCAGTAACTTTATGAATGGATAGTGGAGGATTTTTGCGCATAGAGCTTTTTCGGTCTCATCCTATTTGAGCTGCTGAGGAAACACGAAGCGGATAGTAACTTGTCATGCGAATACGAAAATGCCATTACGTTAAGTCCGGGAATAAAAAGCTATTGAAACAATTACGACCACAAATGTTGTCTTGGTTGGACGGTTTCATCAGTTTGTCGTGACGATCCAGTGAAGAAAAAGCGGATATCACTAGTATGTTGTAGATAATTAGACTTTTAGTTTGTTAATATTTATCATTTTGTTGCTGAAGTATTATTACCTGTGCCAATCGACATCTACATTTTCCTGCGTTATGAATGACTTTGAATGCACTTGTTGGGGCTCTTGAAAGATAGATGAGATATTTGGAGAAGCACAGCAAGAAAGTTGGAACTGGAAACTGGTAACAGGGGAGTTTACTTTCAATAATAGTCAACAAGTATAATTACGATGACTTCTGACGAAACATGATTTTAAAATTTCGACCTCAAAAAAGCACTCCATTATTTTAGGGATCCTAGATGCCAGGCTTGAAACTATAGAATGCGTAAAGCAACCACAATAAGTACAACAAAACGTTTCAAGTATTATAATAGGTTTTCCTTTGAACATGGAGTCAAGCAACCAAATCAAACAGTTATACAGCATTAAGCTGGTTTTATAAGAGTAACTTCAGTTCCATTAGATGTGAATTGCCGGTTGACGGAGATTTTAGACAGCATCTGAGTTTACTTAACTCGAAATCGACATTATACTTGGTCAAATCTTCCATATCAGCAACTACACTCGCTTAACAACATTTTCGTACGAACAATCAGTGCTAAACGAGGGAAAAAAATTCAACTACCATAGCTTGTGAGAGTGTTGCTTGAAGGCCAGTGGACTGAGTACGGTAAAAACAACTGAGTTTGCGGTTATCACCCAAAATAGGTCTAGCATTTAAGATTTTGCTCTAAAAAGACTACAAAATATGAGAGACTAGCACAAGTGAGAAGTGCGAAGACAGCTCGAAGAACCAGGTAATTTCGTGAAAGTGCAAAATTCCTGATAACTGCTATAAATAATAGAAAATCACCAATTTATGACAAACACGTCCCTAGTGATAAGCAGCATATACTGCGCATGGTGTGCAAATTACAATTCGTGGTATTAAGGAGGAAATAATTACTACTTACCAACACAATATTAGTCGCTCCTAAGTGATTCACAGGAATGGACATTTTAAGTCAGGCATTGCTATTTGACTTAAATTGCCGCTCAAAATTCAAGTCACAAGTAACGTTATTTTAATAATGTAACAGCTAGCGAAACTTAAATGTGATTCTTATGTTCCCATTTGATGTTTAGGCTTTTATTTGTTTAAAATTACAACCGAAGCGCTATTTTCGTCTTTTTTCTTCGGCGCGATTTTCTGAGTTTGGAATGACAGGCTAAGACCAACTGGGTTTATAATAAGGGGAAAAATCACAAATCGGAAACCTTTAATTATCTGAGGATTTTACAGAGCTAGTTATTGATTTTGATGGAGTATGTAAAGTCAACAGGTTGCTACCAGCCTCTGACATCGGACCAGACTCCAGTCTCTTCTCTAGCTGAAGATGTAGCGTTTGCTGATATTACGAAAGTCAGCTCCGAAGAATTTGCAGTAAGTGTGGCATATAAATAACCCCACAGAAACAAATCACTTTGATAGAACTTTCGTACTTTAAAGCCATACATAGAGAGGTAAGCCGTAGAGAGAACTTTTTAAGGTGTTCTATAGGAGTTTGCAAGTTTAAAATGGAATGGCAGGGAAAAACACTTGTGCGCTCCGAATATCGTTGCCTCAACCAGATGGTTTAATCAAGTAATTTATGTTTGTGTCTAAACGTTTTCAGATTAATTTCTGGGTTCAAAAAGAAATCTTAAAATACTCATGCGTTTCAAAGAGAACTGAGATGTTGTCATTTTTTATCAAAATTTCCAAAGTAGGTTTGTGTTTGTTTTTTGAAATGTATTGCACTATTATATCACATAGTCCGTCAAACTTCTTTTCATGTTACTTAAAGTTACCAACGAGACATTGTTTTAGATATATTATTTCTATTTAACTGAACACAGTATGTTTTCAAGCAGCCTATGAATTTCTGTTTTTGTTTACTCCAGAAACTTGTGGAATTTAATAATCTGTATTCTGCCATGTCAATAATATCTGCTCTACAAGTGGAATGCATTTATCGTTTGAGGCACACATGGGCTGGTCTCGGAAACAAAGATCGGGCAGCGTACAGGCGTCTGGAGGAGCTTTTCAGTCAGAATGATAATTGTCGCAGACAGCGCGAACATATGAATTCTATAAGTCTTCCTGGTATCCCTTACCTAGGTAATGCTTGTCTGATGATCTTGATTGCACAATCGGAAGCTTTAGCTCATCATTTTACACATCCCTTTTTCCAGGTTATGAAGTATTGTATTTTACTAAACCCTAAACTGCCAGGTGCTATTTTGAGCCTTCTCACAGTAGTGAGTTTCATCGTGTCCCGTATGGCGCACTGCGCGAGTTACTATTTATAGTTTAGTAACTTGGCTTTCATAGCTTATTTCTCATATGCTTCGTGTCATTTGTTTCTTGTCTTTGCGAGACATCATTTATACCGTCACAATATAAATGCTTGCAAATAACTTAAATACCAGGATTCATGTATTTTTCGATAGGTACCATATTTATCATAAAATTAGTACTTGCAATTAACCTGTCGTCAGGAAAATACGGTTCGGTTTACTTTCTCCTAATTCTTAATCTACCAAATCCATCTTCGGTTCGGGGAACCAAGTAATAGCACTACAGTGTTTATTTTATTTAAACACAAATATTGGTACAACAGGGCACCAAATATATATGCGCCACACCATATTTGTGTGTGGTCCGTGATTCTGCCCGGGTGCCCAAACAGAAGCAGATGGTTTTCTCAGGGGGCCACACCCCGAGCCTTTGACCTAAAGGTCTAATCCACAAGGCAGTGGGGCATCGTGAGGAGATGCAATCCCATGGTAGCCAGTGACCAACTATTGGTTCATGCGCCATTTGTTCCCTCAGGATGCTGGAGCCCATGTGCACCATTGGTTTGAGATCCGGTTAAAGCACCGGACATACGCTTTTCGTCCTCTCATTTTCATAAACAACACCCCCGTCACGAGAAGGCAGTGAGTAGGACTTCCCTGTCAGAGGCTGTATATGCGTGACCGTTTGAGAGCATTTCGAGAGGGAGGGCGGGCCCACCCCACTCTCAGCCATACCAGGGCATTTGTGGGCTCCACAGTGTACTTTAAGGTTAAGTACCAAGTGATGTAATTTACTAAGTGTGCTGCATTATTAATTAGACTTTTGGAAATTAATTTGCTTGTTTTAACATTTTTATTACTGGTTTCCTCTCGTTTTTTATCTTTTGCCATCATGACTGAATTTTGCAAGAATTAGATCCTACATGCTTTGCTAGCTACCACTTATTAGTGTCTTTTTTAATCATAATTTTTAGGTTTATATTTGTCTGATTTAACGTATACAAATGTGGCTCAACCGCGTATAAATGGAAAACCAACTGCCGTATGGTTCACAAAAATCAACTCGATTATTGATAAAATAGCATATTTTCAACAATCTGAATACTGTGAGTTGATTTTGTAATATACTTATTGGTTGGGATTCCTCAGTTTATATGCTAAGACTAAAAATTGTATAACAAATCATCATTAACTGACGTTTTACTTTTGCATTTTACTATTTAGACACTCAGTAATCAAATAGTTAATTGTTATTTTCCGTATCATACTTTACTTGCCGAGTTATCTTAAATTACTGTCCAATAAACCGCACATGTCAACTATGTTTAATATGTTACATTTTCACAGCTATTTGAAAAAAAATCCTCTCGTTTACGTTGACTCCAATGCCTTCCAATTAGTCTAATCGTCATTAATCAAGAAGCGTTGTATTTCGTGAAATAATTGTCATCTCATTAGATTTGTGTGATTGCTGTGATACAGCCCGAGTGTCCAGACCGAACCAGGTGGTTTTCTTAGTGGACCGCACCCGGAGCCCTCAACCTGAAGGTCTGATCCACAAGGCAGTGGAGCATCGTAAGGAGATGCAGTCTCATAGCCGGTGACCAATAATTGGTCCATACCCCATTTGTTCACTCAGGATACTGGAGCCAATGTTCACCATTGGTCTGGAATCAGGGTTTTCCAACTCCCTTAGGTGGACTCACCATATCCATCAACCCGTTTAAATCGCCGGACATTTGCTTTTCGTCCTCTTACTTTCATAAACAACAGTAATGGCGCGAGAAGGCAGTGAGTAGGACTTCCCTGTCAGAGGCTATTTATGCGTGGCCATGTGAGAGAATTTCGAGAGGGAGAGCGGACTCTCTCCACTCTGGGCCGTACCAGGGCATTTGGGGCAGGTTACCACACAAGAGACTTGATTTGTTACCATTCTATTTGCATTTAAAAATTTTGATTTGGAAATTTTCAGAGATTTAATGCATTATTTCTTATTCAAATTACTAAGCCTTTGCTGTGGATGAAACTCTCAATGCATATCTATGTGCTCAACGCTACATAGAAGAGTTACAGAAGTTTCTAGAAGAAGATAATTATAAAACTTCACTTATTTTAGAACCTCCTCCTACGTTACCCACACCATCCTTGTCATATTTACCTCAGAAAATATACGGAACAACTTCCTCAACCATCTCTAGTTCCAATAATAGCAATCTAGACAGTAGTAATATTTTAAAGAACCAAAATAGTTCATCAACAAACGCATGTCATTCAAACAATACTGGGTTAACATTTGACGGTCGGAATAGTGGATTTGGATTCCGATCACCGTCAAAGCTGTCAAGTTTCGTTCATAATACAAAAAATTCTCATCATTATCAAAATCATAGTCGTCATGGGTCTAATGTCTCATGTAAAGGTGCAACAGTTAATTCTAGTTTTGAAGCAGACCTATTACCTACACTGATGACGAAACACATTACACATTCAAATGACCATATAAACAATCCCATACAAGTCTCTGATTCAAACAAATTATTGGAGTGCAAAACCGATCAACTCAAATCTATGCGTAAAGTATCTTGGGAACAAACTGAAGGCATTACTATGGACGAGACATCTCAATCACAACATCTACGGAAAGAATTCTCCACATTACCTAGACCTAAAACTAAAAATTCCTTCAATGTAGGTCTAAGTCTCTGTTAAATTATACACTTTTTTAGAATTAACATCTGCATGTTGATAATCTCAACATGAGTTCATTTTAACTTACCTGTAGATTTAAAATTCTTTGTGTTTTTGTTGTCGTGTAGCAACAGTTTAAATTAGACTTGATCTCACAGTCAAGAGTGTGTTTCTTTAACACTTAGTTACCATTTTCGTAATTGGTCTCCCTTCTATCAGAATACGTTTACGTCGATATTTATAGAATTGGAGTTGTCATTATACTTTCTAAATTTCCTGTGTAGTTGAATCCATTCAAATGAATGTTTTGTTGAGTCACTAGTAATATAGTCCCGTGACTATACAGATGCAGTAATTTGATTTTTAAACAATTGACTAGTTTTAGTAATTATCATACACAAAATTTGACTTAAAACTGAGTACCTGAAATCTTACTTGTTTATTGAGCTACATAAAACTAATAAGAACCCAAGTATTCTGTATTAATATGGATGTTTAAATAAAATTTTATGTAGTGTCAGTGGGTTTCGACTGGTTGCACACATTAAATTAGTTATATTCTAATAATAAAGCGGTCATTTCGACATGATCGAACTATCTCTATTGCACAAAGCATATTAATATGTAAATGGTAAAAGTCGTATTTAGTTTTAGAATACAGTAATTAGGTATTGAAATGACAAACTTATTGATGCATAAAATTTTCGCAGTTGAATTCTCGAGTAGATCTAAGCTCGACCACCATTGAAAACCTGGGAGCAATAAAGCCGTTTCGTCCTGGTATGTGACTCAGCACTGCGCATCCACGATCTAGCATACGGCACTCTAACTCAGGATCTGTATCGCTCGCGAACTCTTGACCTGTATATCACTGAGCTGGTATCCATCAGTGTTAGCGTCTAACTTTAAACGTTCCATGATCTTGCGCAAATTTAGACACTCTAGAAAAGCTAATTTTACGTGGTCTAAAATCCCATAGTGAGATTAATGGGACTACAACAATAAATATCACCAGTATAGTCTCACCATCTGAATGTTTC